GAAAAACATGCATGCTGAACTTTTAAAACACTTTACAAAGTTCTTTGTCTTCTTAAATAAAACTTACTTATCAGTACTCATCAACCTATGTTTTAACTCACCCAGTTGGAAATCTGGGTAAATGAACCTATTTGCTGTTACAATTTTACTTTAAAACATGGTACTCTCTTTATTGTTGTAAATAGCTATGTGACAAATCAAATTTATTGTCTTATATCAACTTTTAATCACCCCAAATTTAGAGAGTTGTTACTGCAGCACACACAGATAGTTCTAATTGTTCTAATTGTTTTTTTAACTAAAATGCTATCTAAAATATTAGCTCATTTAAACACAAACTAAGTGATAACAAAACTTTGTTATCATTCGATGAAATATTACACATTTGAAAATATTATACAGCACATCTTAATGATTCAATTAGATTATTTATGTTCTACGTTTTCTTTTACCAAACCTCTCAGCTACCTACATTTTTTCTACAAGAGAGTAGACTAAAGACAGAGCCCTACTGGTAGCTCTGGCAAAGTTTAAGTTCCCTGAAATTCTCGGAGGATTTGTGGTTGAAATTTCAGAAAACAGGTCAATAATAATATCTGATAATTGTAAGAAAAAGTTACACAATACCAGGAAAACACTACATTTCTACACAATTATTACTTCACAGTACCTTATAAACTTACCAGTAGTATTTCCATTTGACTGTGTTCCACTTAAGAAAAGCAGAAAAGGCATCTATAGGAATTCAGAGCCAGTCACCCCAAGATGTGTTTCTGTGGCGAGGGATTGTTTTGAGCTAAGAGCAATTTTAGCTTCAGGCTCAAGAGAAACGTCAGTCTCTCCCTTTAACTACCTAGAAGAACTTGAATTAGGGGACTAGCGCATAAGAGATTATCAGAGATAACCTCTTGTGACCTACCTATAGGGCAGGGCAAACTTCTATTTACTAAGCATCTGTTCTTATCACCTTGCAGTGACCCTGTGAAGCCCGGTAGGCATCTTACTTCATCCCTAGCTCAGAATGTCTTATATACCCATGTTCCCTTTCTATCTCTGAACCTCTCGTGCATGTGGGGTCTCTGACTCTCTCATGTATGCGGCGTTCCATACATATGTATGCATTAAATTTGATTATTTGCTCTTGCTAATCCATCTCGTGTCTATTTGATTGTTAGACCAGCTGAAAGAACCTTACGGGTAGAGAAAAATTTCTTCCTCCCCTCACATCTCTACAATTACGAGTATGCTATCAGAAGCATTAATTAACCAAGAACATGGGTAACAGATCTTTCCCATTACTTCTCTCTACCTTTATTAAGTATAAATAAAAGCCTAAAAACTCCTTTATAATTTGAACAACAACAACAACAACAACAAATAGCCAAGGCTCTCTAGCAATAGTAATCTGGAAAATACTTTAATATTTAAAATTGCCTCAGAAATATCAATTAATGGAAATTATTTTTCCCTATGAAAAATATACCTATCACAAATAAAGAAACATGAAATACACGTTATATATGTAAAGACAGCAAGAGAGAGAAAATGGGGGGACTCACCTAAGACACGTAAGTTTCTAAAATATATTCTGAACTTCCTCTTCAGAAGGCATGTGAAGACGATGCGTAGGTATAACATTAATAGCAAAAAACAAACATGAAATAAAGATAGCTATTGCTATCTAGATATGCCCTATTAGATGCAGCCTAGAAATATATAGTGTTATTCAAAACGCTCTTAAAAATTCATATTAATCTTTGCAATGTAACACAAAATATAGTGGAAATCACAATTATTATATAAGTTAACTCACTTATTCATATTATGTGAGCAAACTGGAGCAAGCTTTCCAAAACCATCCTTAAGTACACACTACAGCGAGATGAGAGTAATTACAAATTTAACATAACTGCACTATTTCGATGAAAATAGAAAATTTGCATTTTTTTCTCCTACACAATATTTGAGTCGATTAACTGTCTTCCAATGAAAAATAATCATGCATTGTAAGCATCATTAAGGTGGCTGAAAACATTTTCTTAGCTTAAAACAAATATAAAACTACCAAATAACACAGCCTGAAATAAGTATAAGCACTGTTTTCTAAGCCTAACTCTGGAACAATAACGGCCTAATTTCAATTTCATATCTCCACTGTTAGGAAGCAACACGGTTTCTCTGTTCAAAGTTTATACCAGTTTTTCTCTTCCAATTTGAATATATTTACACTCCGACAGGAACAAGTTTAAGTTTCCTGATCTCTAAATGCTAACACTATTAGATGTACTTGCCTCTAACGCATTTAGGGACCAGGGCTTATGGCAACCATGCAGTTGGCTTCTGTCACTACTACTGAATTCATTCTTATATTCAAATAAAGTAACTTTTTCCTCCTTTAGAGTTTTTAGGAATCAAATTCCAATTTTGCAGAATGAGTCACAAAGAGTTCTACTAAGTGAAATTTAAATAAAAATTACCTAATATTCAGCAATGGAGATTAAGATTTTAAAGATTTTTAATTTAAAAGCAAAATTGGATATTTTACATTGAGATTACCCTAACGCATCCTTGAACATTCACTTCTTCTTTGATTATTCAAAAAAGTGCTTATTTTGTTAAGATGATCATAAATTCAACTAGTGTGTCTCACATACTCCTTTTTATAGATTCACTATTAATGATAGTCAAGTTTAAAAATAAAACTTATGATTAAGTATTTTACCAAAATATTTTATTCTTTTAAAATTTACCTGTACAGTAGTCCCCCTTATCTGAGTTTCGCTTTCCACTGTTTCAGTTACCTTCAGTCAACCACAGTCCAAAAATATTAAATGGAAAATTCCAGATATTTTTGAGAACCAACATTCATACAACTTTTATTACAGAATAGAGTAATAATTGTTTTATTTTGTTATTAGTTATTGTTGTCAATCTCTTACTGAGCCTAATTTATAAAATAACATAATCATAGGTATATATTTATAGGAAAAAAACATAGTATATATAAGGTTTGGTACTATACGGGGTTTCAGGCATCCACTGGGAGCCTTGGAAAATATCCCCACAGGTAAAGGGAGACTACTATACTTATTCTGTCTTCTTTCTCTAATACATTGACCTGAGAAAGAGTTAAGTTAAACATTCATGAATACAACACGCTAAGCTATAAAACGAGGGAGTTTACTTTATGAATTGATATGCTAAACTAAAAATTAAATATTTCACTATTATCATGCATGGATCAATAATTAACCAGTTTGAACATTATAGATAGCAATACAGACAATGAATTATATGCTGATAAAATGTTTAAGAAGTAAAATAACATACATAAAAGCACAGTGCTGAGAAATACAGCGCTGGGATTTGAATTCAAGGCTGATGGTTTCTGGAACATAAAAAAGTATGCAACAAATACTGGTTGAATCAATTAATGAATAGCTCCTAAATCTACCCTCTAAACTCTTAAGGAAGTCGTTGTGGCCACGGAGAAAAGAAAGTTTGTACATCATAAATGTGTTTTAGTTATTTCCTAGAAGGGAGCCAAATTCTGCAAATATATTTGGTAACTTCTCATAAAGACAAGTTGAGCTAAACTCAAAAAACAACCGATCCTGAGTATAAACATAAACTGAAATAAAAATAAATGAATTTGCTGATTGTTCTTTTCTGTTTGAGAGAATGACTCAGCTTTAACCATAAAATCTCACCCAAGCCTCAAAAATCAAAATATATGATAAAACTACAGCTATGATTAAAATGCAAAAGCAGTTAATTTTTATAAATTAAATACAGATGTCACTATCATATGTGTTCTAGATATAGATATTCCTATTTTACCACTATAATCTCAAGTGAATCAGCTGAATGATAAACCCTATGACCTTTATGTCTAAAAACCTATTAACATTTCCTCTCTTTAATACGCACAGTAAGCTTGTAATTATGTAAAGGAAAGGTTTTGTTTTGGCTTTTTTTTTTTTTTTACTTTGAAAGTGGAAAAACTGAAATCATAGTCAAGGAAAACATTTTGCCAAGGGTGATTCATAAATTCAATCTCAGAGAACAAGCTGATATTCACAATCTCAAACTCATCAATGTAGAGGAAATACAAACCATATTAATGTTTTTTAACCATTCAACGTCCAAACCCTTAAGAGTAAACATACGTCCCTAAAAAAGAAAAGTAGACATGACACATAAACAATTTTAATACATGAAAGCAGGATCTTAAGTGCAGATAAGACTCTGAGTTCCTGGCTAGTCTAGAACTTGACAGCAGTGAGCTTTTGGATCCCGCAAAGATTGCGTGAAATACTGAGATGGCTCAGGTAAACAGAAAGAGCAAGATCTATTTATTTTGACAAACACAAGCAAAACATGCTGGATACATTTTTCACTTTAATTCCATGGCCCAAATCTGTGCCATCTGAGAATACCTAATTGAATTATTTAATTTAGGTGGAAAACCATCTGCTGAAAAACCCAAGTCTTCAGTTCTCAATGGCTGTGAAAACAAAGCTGGTCAAGGTCAAGGGACTGAAGTCGCAGCAAGCCTAGCTCGAGTGGAGGAGACAAATAGGAACACAGTGTGAGCATCTGCAAAGTGTGATCAGCACACACAGCTTGGGGCCCCCCAGCTATTCCACTGCAACATAGATAAGGACCAGACTTGACTCCTGGAGCACTTCTTTCACTCTGCTCTGTCATACCCGACTGCGCTCTGTGCTTACTTTACTTTTTTTGCCAAAAAGACTGATCTTAGTCACTGAAAAATTTTCATTGCAAAAGAAACCCCTTGTTTAAAGCAAAGTACAACCAACAGCTCCTTTCCAATTATCCCCTACAACTTCCCCAGTCTCTTTCATGCCTGGCTACTGAGCTCTAGTTTGGCTGCCGGCCAGGTTCCTCTCTTCTTTCCTTGTCAGTCGTAAAAACTTGGAAAACACTCCTGGACAGCTCAAGGAGACCTTTTAATTATGCAATGGGGCAGGCAGTACCTTAGCCTGTAAGTTGTTTCCAGCAAGGCTTGTAGTCGCCCGAGACTGCACTCTCCAAAGTGGTGGGTTTTCTAGCAAGGCTACTTGTTTATGTGGAGAAGGGAGGGCAAGACTGGCAGAGAAGAAACCGGGCGATTTGCAAATCTGAAATTTCCAGCTCGGACCTCGAATAGTCACTCTGTCTCATTACCGCCCCTTTAGCACCTAATCAACCATTTGGTATCAGACACAAACCCATCAGCACCGCGTTCTCCTACTAGTCCTAGAAATTAACAAGTGGTGTCTTAACTAGAACTCTCTCGAAAAAACTTTTATTCTCAAGTGTTGCTGCAACATTTTTTAAAAAGTAAAAAAAAAAATCCCAAAATAAATGTATTAAATCCTTCCTGGTTGACTGCATTGTACTTTGTCAAGCTTGCAGATGGAAATAACACATGTAGATGTCTGATGCAAGTGAAAGTAAAGCGAGCTTAGTGGGGAGACACTGCCAGGACCCAGGAAGGGGTACCCTGACCGCCAGCCCGCACTTACTCGGGGTTTGTCCAACTAAGTGGACTCGCCATGCGCAACACCAGCTACATCTTCTTGAACCGGGTACGCTAGCTCCAGCTGCAGCGCCCAGCTTCCTGTGCAAGTCCCATTCAACATTGTAAACACATTCCAAGAAAACCAGCCAGTGTGGAGTTCGCTCCCGCACCCAGGGAAGTCCACGCAGCAGCCCCAGGAGCCGCAGGGACGAACCGATCGCGCTGGATTCCGATCCGTGTCGCGAGTGAGCGCGCAGGGAGAAGGGTCTGGGCGAGCGAGCCTGGCCGGCGGCGGAACCGAGCCCAGGGGCTCATCACACGGCCGCGCGGTGCGCCCCTCCAACACCGCGCCCTCCAGAAGGAGCTACTAAACCCACCCAGCCAAGGGGTACCCTGCGGGCGCCGCCCCTGAGCGTGGGCCCTCCCAGCCCTGGGCTTTAAAGAATCCTCCGCCGCGCCTCGGAGCTCCGCGCTTCCCCGCCCCCATGCCCACACTCTCTCCCGGAGCCAACAAAAGGGAGGGTACGCTGGAAGAAGTTTCGCTCCTGGGTCGCCTCGCTGCGACCCGGCGAGCACTTGCCTGCTCGGTCCGTCCGACCCACGCACCTTCCGCGGGACTGATCCAACGGGCGCCCCCCCCCTCCGCCCCCTCCGCCCCCTCCAGCTCCTGGCCCAGCTGGACCAAAGTTACCACAAAGGGTTCCAGGAGGCTCCAAGGGTCCGGAGCCCACTGCGCCCCCGACCTCGTGAGGCTCCGCGGTCGTCACTGAGGCGCTGCCACAGCAGTCGTCAACAGGTCTCAGCCTCCTTTCGTGCCGGACGACGACACCCTGAGCCTTTCACTGTTCTAATTTTTGTAACCTGCCCGGCGGCGGCGGCAGCGGCGCGCAGCCCCGCGCCCTCCCTTCCCGGCACCCGGGGCCGGGCTGACCGCTGCCCGCCGCCTCTCAGGATGTCAGTTTAAAAGAGACTGCACGCTACCTGGCGGGAGGCTGGGCTGCCAGACGGGGGAAGACCCCAGATGAGTCGCCGTCTCTCCGTACCTTACTGACGGATGCAGTCGGGTCAGGCTTGGGGCAGGGGCGTGGAGAGCTGCCGCGTCCTCGTCCTCGGAGCCGGGCGATCTCCTTTCCAGCACAGCCACGGCGACGCTTCCGTGGCCGAGAGGGAAAGTTTCTGTGTGTCAACGAGGTGGTGGACTCGGGACCCTCCGGCTCTGGTTCCCTCCCTCTTCGCGCTCTCTGCCCTCTTCCTAATCGGCTGAAGCCAAAACTGGCGCTGGCGGCGGCTGGGGCTGCAGGCTCGGGACTCCGGGTCGCTGCCGGCCGGGAACGCGGGGCTCCCCCTCTCGGCCAGAAGGGAACTCTCCCAGACTCTGGCTGGCGCACTTCTGGCGGTCTCCTAGGACACTTCCACACCGGACGCCAGTGTTCAAGCTCGCTACTTTCTTCAATCTCCCAGATGGTCGTTTCCTATGTGCCGGTATCTGGCGTTTGCACGCAGGACCAAAGAGGGCGNGGGGGGGGGAATGTGACAGATACCCGACTGCAGAAGGAGAGGCCTTACCTTACCCTACTCTTCGCTGGGACAGAAGCAAAAACATAGTTCTCCCCACCCCCACCCCTGGTCCCCAGCCGAGTTTCCTTTTGAACCTCCTCCCTGAAGCCCTAGATCAGGACTATTCACCTTCCTTTATCACTATGTGTTTCCTAATACAATTTTAAAACACTGCTTAATATGAAAAAAAAAGTCAAAAAAAAATCACCCACACGACTACGATTAAATGCCTTCTTTACAGCCTTTATCAAGAAAGCATTAACATAGTTGTTGCTGGTGTCCTGAGGGCATCTCTACAGACATTGCCCCCCCCCCCTTTTTTTATCATTTCTTTAAACTCAGCCTGAATCTCTGCACTTTGTTATGCCTTTAAAAAAAAAGAAAAGAAAAACTGCCTCAACCACCCGATTATGCTCATTTGCTCCATTCAGATGTTTGCCTCAGAATTCAGGACTTCTATATAAGGATCCAGGGAAAACATAACAAACCATTCTCACCCGGGTAAACCCCTGTGTGGGAAGACCGGCAAGGAGGAACATCTTCATCCAAGCAATTCTTAGGGGATGAGAACAACTTTATTCAAGTTTTCTGAGACACTGCTCAGAATTTAGCTTACTAAATTTTAAACTGAATGTGAAAATATATGGATAAAGGGAAAAAAGCATTTTGCAAGGCTAGCCAATATAATGTGTTACAGTGAAATTCAAGGTTTAGAGTCAGACAAGCCAGATTTCCTTTTCAGGTTCTATACTTACTCATTCTGTGCCCCAGGACACTCGATGCAATTAAAACTGCCAAAAGGAATTATATAATGGAACTCACAGAGTCATGGTCACATTTACAGGAGCTGGAATGGTGTCAGGCACAGAGAAAGTCCTCAATAAATATTTGGTTCTTACATTCCACTATATTTGACTGTAATTAGAAGAAGATGGCACTGGAAATTTTCCCCAAAGACCTTATTAACTGAATCAATTTTCTTCTCCTTGATGCTTTTTCCATTAAAAAAGATATAGCATCACAATTTTTGAAATAGAAACTAAGTTTAGAGATCGCCTAGCTCTAGCCAAACTTCATTATTTTAAATACAAGACAACTGAAGTCCAAGAATCTTAATTGACAACTAAATCTCATGGTCAGAAGGTGCTAAAGTTGGGACCAGAAATCAGTCCTCTTCACATTTGGCAGAGTCATCTTTTAACTATGTTTCTACCCTTTATCACAACAGTCAAGCACACAGTAAAATAGTTACATAGAGAACATTAATCTGAGAACAATGTTAGTTGCTTTTTCTGTACATAACCTTTGATAATGTAAAAAATGAAATGGAATAAGCATTGCTAGGAGTCACTTAAAACAGAGTCGGCAGGCTATTAATTAATTACCCTTTCACTGCATTAATTGATTTCGGTTTTTTTCCAAAATGTGTCAAAAATACACAAAAATAATTACAGTACTTATATTTTAAGTAAATTAAGGTGCTACATTTTATTAAACTAAATGATTAAAGTTTAAAAGTTCCCTATTGCTATTCATTCTTGAAAAACACAAAAATACAGAAAAATGTACATCTTCTGTCCTAAACTTCCTTTCTGGAACACTGAGCTCGTGGGGTAAAGTTGAACTCTGCAGTCAGCAGCATGGAAATACCATTCCACTATAGTCAAAGGTCACAGCGAAAGTGTAAGGATGTGGGGTCCATGCACATGTTGTGCCTCAACTCTCAGAGCTGCTCTTTAGTTGCTAAACCTGTTACTAAACTCAGCTCATGGCTGAGCTATAAACATTCTGCAATAACGATTCCTAAATGGACATCTACAGACTTAACTTCTTTCCTGGTAGTGTCCATGCTTTGCATATTGGAACTAACTAACCAATCCTTGTTAACCTGCCACCAAGCCTTCGTTTGCATGAAAGTTACATTCTGTGGGTTTTCCCTTTATAAACCCTCTTTGTTCTCTGCAGAGCACAGTTTGGGTTGCTATCAAAATCAGCATGCCTTTTGTTCTTTACTACAGCGTGACCCTCTTCTTTGGTAACACCTTAAAACAATTAATTTACAAACAACTATTAAAGAAAGATAAATTATGTCATTAAAGTGATCACTGTATCAACATGATATAAAAAATACATCAGATGGCAGCCCAATATTTAGGAATAAGGAATAATTACATTACATAATTATAAATATATGGGTTTTTTAACACAATGTTAAAAAATTCTGAAAGAGAACTCTAGACTCCCAAGAACACATCCACAAACCACTAGGAGATACAGATTCTACTTTGAGAAACAGTAGATCAGTCTTCAATACACTATAACTCCACTTGGACAAGTTCAGGGCATGAGAATAAGTCAGGCTGCAGAGAGTTTGGATTAATGGAAAATCTCATACGGGAACATACTTATTTCTTACTCGTTTGCCTCTGATACCTTTAAAAGGAAGTCCTAAACCCTTTTTCATCTTACTCAATGTTGAAAATCATTTGGGCTTTTATACAACTCCCAGGTTCTCGGAGATAAGACCCTATACCCTCTTCTAAGTGGGGGTTCTCTACTACTCCAACCTCACCCTGAATTAGCCACTAAAATAATTTGTTGAAGGTATTCCATAGCCTTTAAGTTTTATGTGCCATTTCCATGATGCTTTGAAGTTGCCAAAAAGAGAAAAAAATTATAATTATAAAGTAAATCCATCATGGATATGGATGAACATGGATGCATGAATCCCCACAACTGTCTTCTTCTAATTATTGCAGATAGTGCTAATGATTAACCATTTTTATATTTTCTCCCAATGTTTAAAGTCTCGATACTTGCTACTGTTGTGTAATTTTTATAAACTGACTTTTGATATGAGCTGCTCTATGAAATGGTTTAGAAGTATAAAAATCTCAAGGATGTCAGAACCAAGTTTTTAAAACACTAAAACCAACTAGAACAAGATTTAACTCAGATTTATAGCATGCCCCAGGAATTGAAGAAGAGAGATGGCAAGGAGACAGGCTGTGTAGAGGCCCTGGCAGGGCACTACCATTAAAACATGCCTTATTCTACACATAACAAATGCTCAGATTTCCATTTGAAAATTCTTCACATTCATCATAGGTGCATATGGACTCTGATAGGGACTAGGCAGCCTTCCAACATTTTTTAAATTAATTTTCTGGCTTAAGCCAGTTAGAAGTTTCTCTTACTTAAACTAAAAGAACCTTGACTAAAACAGACAACTACTTGTTATTTATGTTGAAAACAACAATTTTATTGCTGAGTTTTATAAAAATGCACAAAAACATACTAGCATGATGGTTGTTTAGCTCTACATTACTGAAAACCTGTCATTTAAAGTATTTGAAAACGGAAAGAAATAAAAATCAAGATGGAGTTCAGAATCTCAGTTGTGTCAATTGGAAAGGGGCTTATTTATTTTTGTTATGTGCTAACCATGGCCAAATCGCCCTTGATTCCTAAGTGGATCTGGGTTCCAAAATTAAGAAGCGCTACATTTACTTTCCACCTTCCATCGTTTTCTCTCTCATTCTATTTTGGTGCTCCTGATTAAGAACATGAAACATACTCATTGCATAAAAATAAAGAGGGCAAGACAGAAAATAAATAAATATTACCTGTATTCCCACCCCCAGCAGTACCCACTGCTAGCATTTGCTTTATATCCTTCAAGTATTGCTGAGGTCTCTGAGAGACCCACCAATAAATAACATCCCTTTTTTATGCCTGTTGGAAAAAATTTGAGGAATAAAGCCAAAATTAAAAATAAAATCTAAAATATAACTGGTATTATTGACAGAGACCTGGTTTGAATTGGTAGATCTAAAGGTAAACAGCCAAAATAACAACCTCAGTCACGTGATTCCTGGCCTCCCTACCTAAAAGGAGTGAGTATCTTTGAAGAAGGAGTTAAATTCTGTTTCCTGAGATCCATTCCCTAGAAAGAAAAGAAGACAGACAGCAAAGACAAAGATGAAGAAGATGACGAAGAAGAGAGAAGTCACTAAAAGGGCATAGCTTAACCTGGCATATGCAGTAATTCTTCCGAGATTTATTCCTAAACATATTTATCAAATATGTCACAACCCCTCACCAAAAGGAAATGAGTAAAAGACCCAGAAAAAAAAATATTTTAGCATGGAAATCAGAAGTAGGGAAAAGGCATTACCTAGTACTGATATTCACTTACATTTTTCATTCCCTTTTTTCACATGGAAGTATACCTATACATACTTACTACTTTATAACAATGTACCAGTAGATTTTGGATTTTTCCCCTACCAGTGTTGATTAAATTTTTTTAATATTAGAAACAATGAAACCATGGCCATCTGTACACATATTTTTTTACACCATCTATACACATATATGCCTATCCCTTGTCTATCATTTCCTTAGAATAAATATCTAGAAGTAGATTCTCAAGGTTCGAGTATAAGCTTTTTTTTTTTTTAAGCTGAGCCATCCTGCCACCATTGGAAGCTCAGCAGCTGCTCAACTCGGGCCGGGAAACGAACTGCTGTTGCTCAGAGCTCACACTCTTGAGCGAGCTCTTAATCAACTGAGCCACTCAGCCGGCTAGAGTATAGGCTTTTTGTTTATTTGTTTGTTTTGATATAACAGAACATTTAATTATATAATTTTCCTGTCAACACACAAGTCATTTAATCATGATTATATTGGCCATTTCTATAGGTTGGCAGGAGGCTCTTCCACTAAACGCTCCCACGGCTTCCATTGTATCATTTTTCTTGCCAGACTTAATTCATCTTCAGCCTGAAGAATCACCTCTTCTATTTGGCCACCTTGAAGTGGTCTTCTAATTTTTTTTTTAACATCTGCTTCTGCTTTAACCATACCCAGCTTGTCATTTGTAATCTGTTCTGTATACTCTCTCTATGCTGCATTTTTAGGGATTTGCTCAAGAACATCAAGAGTCGGGCCTGCTGAGTGGTGTGTTGGTTAAGAGCTGGCTTGGGATGCCAGCTCTGAGGAGAAGGGCCCCAGTTCGGATCCCACATGAGGGCCAGTGACACTGCCCTCTACAGACAAGATGGTGAACAACAGTTCAACCTGGAGCTGGGCTGCCGTGAGTTGCTGGCACCAGGCAGGCTTCAGCTCCTGCTGCAGTGAGCTGCCATAAGCTACCGCATGTGGCCAGCAGCCAGTGTGAGCGGGCGGCAGCCGGTGTGAGCTGCCAAGAGCCACTGTGAGCGGCTGTCCAATGGCCGGTGACCGATCTGCCTCACCCGGTAAGAGCACAATGATAATACCAACATGGGCCAGTGAAGCAACGTCCTCCACAACTAGATTGAAGAACAAAAGGACAGCAACTTGTCTGTTCCCCTTCCCCTGATTCCCCAGCACTGTTCCCCTCCCCCAACTCCCCAATAAAATCTTAAAAAAAAAAGAACATCAAGAGTCTTTGTGTACAATATCCTTAGCCTCTCATGTGGCCTCTCACATACATCCAATACCACAAAGCCAGTGGTCTTCTTCAGCACGCCCACCATGACAGTGCCAAGTAGGCTTTTTTATTATTATTTTGGGGGAGAAAATGTCAAGTTACAGAGAAATTGCATGTAGAGTACAAAAAAAATATTTTTTTTCCTGAACCATTTGAGTGTAACTTGTCAACATAATGCCCCACCTTCCCCCAAATCCTTTTGCATACTTCCTACAAATACTGACCTCTCCATAAAGAGAGTAAACCATCAAAAATCAGTAAATTGGGCCGGCCGAGTGGCGTGATGGTTAAGAACTGGCTTGGGATGCCAGAGGGCCCCGGTTTGGATCCCACATATGAGGGCCAGTGACACTGCCCTCCACAGCTAAGATTCTGAACTACTGCTCAACCTGGAGCTGGGCTGCCATGAGTTGCCGGCTACGGCAGAGGCTGCAGCCCCTGTGGCAGTGGGTTGCCATGGGCTACCGTGTGTAGCCAGCAGCCACCTTGAGCGGCCAGCAGCCGCGGTGAGCGGCCATCCAGAAGCCAGTGACCGATCTGCCTCACCCGGTAAGAGCGCAATGATAAACCAACATGGGCCAGTGAAGCAACGTCCTCCACAACTAGACTAAAGAACAAAATGACAGCAACTTGTCTGTTCCCCTTCCCCCAATTCCCCAGCACTGTTCCCATCCCCCCAATTCCCCAATAAAAGTCTTTAAAAAAATCAGGAAATTGACATTGATACATTTCTACCATCTAGCTCTTTGGTCCCATTCAAGTTTCTTCAATTATCCTTATTATGTCCTTTATAGAAACAGTCCAGTTTGAGATCACATGTTACATGTAGTTATCATGTCTCTTTTAGTTTTATAATGTTGATACTTTTGAAAATTGTTCTCTACTTATATTGTCTGTTAATTTATTGTGTTAGATTCGTGTTATGAATCTTTGGCTGATAAACACAGAAGTGTGATACTACTTTCTTTTTTTAAAACAATTTTACCAATGTGCACCCAATTTTGGTTTGTCCTATTACTGATGATCTGCATTTGATTAAGGTAATGGGATGGCCATACCACCCTGAACTTGCCGGATCTCGTCTGTTTAAGGTAATGGTACTTGTCAGGCTTCTCCTCTGTAATGTTAATCTCTTTTCCTTGGTGATTGGTAAATATTTTCAAAACTACATAAAAATTTAATTCCTCATTAAACTTTCAATTTATTCATTTATTTATTTATATTAGTATAGGCACATGGTTTGCTATTTTATTCAAATGTTATTTTATTTATCTGTTACTATCATAATTTATTTTTACATTCAAATTGTCTCAGATTTGGCCAGAGGGAGCCCTTTCAAGTTGACTTCTGTGTCTTTTTGCTATGTCTCCATCATTCACGAGCACTTCTGACTTTGAGGAACAAAAAGTATTCAAGTCTCATAATATCCCAGCTTCAGCCCTGGAATCAGCCATTTCTCCAAAGAAGCCAGTCCCTTCCACTGAAAGATGGTATTTGAAAGCTGAGCTCCAAGTCCAGTGTCATTGATAGTAGGCTTTTGCTTCATTTAAGCCCTCTCAGTAGCCAAAGTAAAGAAATACACACACATATTTATATCTGTCTATATCTATCTATCATCTATATTTCATCTTGAATGCTATGATTCATACCCTTACTTCCAATTCCAGTACAATACCACTTTCCATATTTGTAACTTCCTTGTCCTCCAGTGAACATCAGAATTCCATTTCCATTATCCTTAATAGTTAAAATTCATATTGTTAAGCTAATTATGGAAAGTTTATACAAATGTATACTTCCATGAACAATATATAGTGTCATTTCTTCAAGGTGTATTTTATTGACTTATGTAGTTAGTGAGAAAATTCAGGTGTGGATGGTTGGTTGTTTAAAGCATGCTTCTCAGCATTTGGCACACCCTGGTCCTACCAGTTCCCACATGACCCTCTCAATTTTATTTAATGATTCACTTTTATCCTCATTTCCTCCCATTCACTCACCCAACATAAGCACTCATTCTAATGTGTTTAATGTGTATCTTTTTTGTTTATATATGTATTCTTGCAAAGTATTTATTTTATATGCATTTTTAATATATGTAAATGCTATTATGTAAACAATTCTATCTTGGTTGTTACTTTTTTCTCCAAACACTTTAAGTTTTCATATAACAAGTAAAAAATTAGCTCAATTATTATATTCATTTTTATTACTTTCACTGTTAATAAAGCTGGGCATGCTTTCATACAGATAATAAGCATTTATATTTTCTTTTATGGACTGGCTATTTATATATTTTGTTCATTTTTCTCTCTTCTCTATGGACTTGTGTATTTTTCTTTTCCTTATTGATTTTCAAATGTTCTTTAATAAATAAATTAATCTCTAGCAAAAAGAACCAAAAACATAGATATTTATTTCTTTAAATTTGATTTCAAATAATTTTGTTAGTTTTTTTGGACTACATAGAATTTCTTTAAATGTAGCCTTTTATGAGTTCTATAGGTTTTGTTGTTTTTCCTTTTTTTGTAATGCTGATAAAAACATCCCATCTAAACTGTATTTCTGAAAATATAATAACCTATATTTTCTCCTAGTATTTGGTAGTTTAATATTTTGCTTTTTTCTTTCCAATTTAGTTTGGTGTGAAACCTAAGATAAAGCAATTTTCCCTTCTTTTTTACCCCCGGGATAATTACCTAGCTGTCCAACACCATTTACTAAAGGATCCATTCTTTCCCCAGTGATTTTAGAAGTAATCCTTACCATGTATTAATTTAGATATAAAACAGGATTTGTTTATGAGGAACTTCCAGGTAAAGTCAAACAGCACGTACAATCCAATAAGACTCCCCAAAAAAGGTGCAACAAAGACTGAAATCCAGCCAGGCTCTTCTGCCAGCCAAGCAAGTGGAGCCCATGAGCCTGGAGAAAGTGGCACCTTTTCTAACCTCAGAGGAATCCTCAACCAGGAGCCCCTGCAGAGCTTCCCTGGCAAGGGACTGGTGTCAAGGGGTCTCAATGCACAAAGGCACCATGTGACTAGCAGCAGCCCTTTTCATTTATTTCTCAGTCTATTACTGCAATAAAGCACTGTTAATTACCTCAGCCTATAATTGTTTAAAAATATCTGTTGGACAAGTTCCCCTTCTTACTTCCTCCTTATATACTCTTCAAAAGTTCCATCACTATACTCTCAAGTTTATTTTACCAAATGAACTTTGGAATCATTCTATTAAATTTCCTTATCACATCTTCCTCTCTACCTTTGACCCCAAAACACTCCTGTTTGTTAGAATTGAGTTCAACTTATATGTCAGTTTACTCGAATCACTTCATTATTCAATTTTTCTTCTGCTCCTGAAACAGAAGATGCATTCCTGACTTGAAAAGACTTGACTTCTGCACTCATTCCTGTTATATCTTTACCCTCCAACCCATTCATTGCATTGTCATTTGTTAGAGGTCCTGTTTACTGGCAAGAGTGAAAGGGCCATTATTCTACAAGAACTGCAGAACACAAAATAACATTAGGAATGCAACAACCCTACTTTACAGTGGAAATGAGGGAAAACACAGATCTTAATCCAGGTCAGGTTTCTACTGCTAGTTCCAATTCACTTGTACGCCAGCTGGTAGTGCGTGTGTTCTGTGGAAGCCAGTCATGACAAAAAGAAAATACCTTGGACCTGATTCATGGAGTAGCCTGGCCTAATGGCCAGGAGGGTCTCCTGAGATGTGCTCTCTTGCACCAGCATTTGCAGACCTGAAAAGTTTGATCAAAGCAGTTTTATTTGCACAAAAGTTTCTGCTTTCAAAAGATATTTTGACCACTGAAGACTTATATACTTAAAATACAAAAAAAAAACACAAAAAAAAAAAAACAGAAATTTTATTGCAAATAGAATTACATTATTTTTTTCCTCACTAAGGTAGAAAACACATAACATATTGTAGATTGTCTAAAAATTATTTTGGACAAAAAAACACAACTTTTTTATTTCAAAATTATGATTTGTTGCTTTTCACTAGAATGCTAATGTCTTAAATTCTCTTTCAAATTCTACATCAGAGTTTACCCAGTCCTGGTGATAGGGCCTGACAGAAAAGCAGAGCAATGGAAGGCACTTATATGATTGGGCTTGACATAATGTGATTAGGGAAAATGGTGCCATGCTTTAAAATGCAAAGGGACGCCTATCACAATCTAACAACAAAAGACTTCTCTCACTGAGTTTCTCTTTCATTATAGGGGTGAAATAATTGTAACTATTGCTCTTCTGCAAAAGGCAATCCGTAGCAAGAATTGTTAGAACACAGGCTTCTCGTGTTGGTTCTGTGTCAACAGTCTCTTCCACCCAGCAACTTGAGAATACACACAGATGAAGTGCTATCAGTTCAATGGAAATTGGCTGGTTTTCAAAGTGTGACTGTGCAAGCCCATTGTCAGTTAAAAAAAAAAAAAATGAAACTCTCCAGAAGCAATTTCAAAATTACACAAGTTGTTCACAGATACTGATAGTGCAAGTAAGGATCACCAATTTTCCAAATAAAGATAAACTGCAGAAGATTTTAAATAAATACCACTATCTATAAATACAATGTTTCATTTAAAAATCTATACATTGTATAAGTGAAGACTATAATAACCTAAAGAACCTAATTAATAAAATTAAATTGTTTTTATTAAAGAATTTTTGTACAGTGCCATGAGTTTGGAGGCGAATTAATAAAGTGTAAGTAAATGATTGTATGGGTTTATCTCATAAAAGATGATTCTAGTTTCAAGAAAGCTCTCACAGATTAAATTGTACTTACTGAATTAAATTTCAGATATATACTTCTTGTAAATGTGAACTTTGGGCTGTTGATTTTTGAAGGAAGAAGCACAGCAGAGAGTTTTAATGCATGGGCTTTGAAGTCATAAAATAATGAGTTCCAATCTGTGCTCCAACACTTATTGGCTATGGAATCTGAACAAATAATGTCCCCTCCTTTAATACCACTTTCCTCATTTCTGAAACAAAGTTGTTGTCAAAATTACCA